GAGGAGACCTGCTGCTGGGAGGCCTGGCAGCATGTGGTTCGAAGCCAGGGTCGGGACGTCGAGCCCGCCGGGGCCTCCTCCTCCCCGACGGCCGTGGAGGACGAGCCTACTTCCTGGACCCCAAATCCTGTGCTCCGACGCGGTGGCGGCGGCTTGAAAAGGCTCCGCGGGGCAGCGCTTACTTGTTGCCTCCTGCGAGAGCTCCTCGTTGTGGACGTTCCTCCTCCGGCCCTCTGTGCAGCCCTCTCGGAGACCCGCGCTCGGTCGGAGTTTAGTGCCTTAAACGCCCGCGCGCGGAGGTGTTTGTAAGTGACCGCTTGCGTCTTGTCACGGCGTCGCCTGCCGCGTTTCTCGAGGAGTCGCCGTCCCTGCTTCAGATTTTGCCGAGAAGTCGATTGGCTTGAGAGCGAGTCCTGAGTCGAGCAGTCCAGAAGCAGGTGGCTGGTTCGCTGGCATTTCTGCTTTCAGAAAGGAAATCCATGCGGTGTGTTGTCAGAAGTGAGGGGCCTGCCCCGCGCGTTTAGTTAGCCCGCTGGAGTCCGTTTCCTTTACCTAGGGTGAAGTTTTCTGTCTTATAAATCAGAGCCAGCGGCTACTGTCGGTTATTTGTGAAGGCTCTTCTGGCTTTTTTGTGACCGTTGTTAGACGACAGTGGGAGAGGGGTTAAATCTGCTGTGTAGTGTTATGTTTTAGGGAAAGTCCTAAATGCAAAAGTTAAAAATAATTGTGTGTATCTAATGGCATTGCTTTGTATGAGTCACTGCATGAGAATATTATCAGAATCGCTGATAACTTCTAGATAGCAAAGAAACTTCTGGAATTAGTGACTTGCCTTTTTTTTTTTTTTATAAGGTTTTTTTTTCAATGTGAAACGAGGTTACCCGCAAAATCAGTGTGTTTAATACAAAAAAAAATACATTGTGGAAGAATGAAGATTCGTCAGAGGACTGAAGTTTTCTAATATAAGGTCCTGATACTAAGATATTGAGACATTAAGAATGTTAGAAAACTTTGGCTTACATAAAGATTGACAGCCTGATTCCAAGTCATACAAAAAGTATCCAAACCTCTTTCTATGGGAATAGATTTGTAAGCTTGCCATAACATTTGAACTTAAATATACTTTTCTAAAAAAATTATGCCATTAGGCTTAAAATTAATAAGGATTTAATTTTTTTTTTTTTTTACTGTTAGCTTAGTCTTCAAGCACTAACACAGCTGGTAATACTTACCATTGTTTGGTGGGAATGGGGTTCTTGTATTAGGCTAGCATACTAAACATTGATGTAGTTGATAAAATATTCAACTGACTTTCTAGAAAAGCACTGAGCTTCTGTATTTTTTAGTCTTTCAGTTCAGTGTTTAATGCTATTGGAAACTTCTCCAGTGTACTTATTTTTTTCAGTTTCTTTTGGGGGAAGGGGGAGAAGCACAGTTGTTTCTGTGAAATACTTTGACCTCATATCCATTAACTAATTAGGGTTCCAGTCAGAAAAAAACTAGCACTCCTTCATGTCATGTCCTGCAGTGGTTTACAATTTAATTACAGTGCTAGTCAAATCTATGCATAAGAATTCTACTTAAGATCCAATTTTGGCATATTTAAAAACAGTTGAGACTCATAGATCATTTATGAACAGGTTTAACTTATGTGGTCTAATAAAAGTCTTTTAATGGAGAAGTAAAAGTAATTTTTCTCAGTTACTTGATTATTTTTAATCCATTTAGGTTTGCTTCAGACCGTCAGTAGTAAAAAGTGGTCCTCTTTCAACTTTGGGAAAGAACTCCTTTTACTGAGTTCATTCTCAGCTGGGTACTAATTTAATCTTACTTTATAATTTGTGTAGCAATCCAGCAGGACCAGCATTTTCGAAAAACTTAGAATAGCACAGTAGTTATATGAAAATTAAGTATTTAAAAAACAGTGCCCACCTGTTCCTGGGTTTATTAGAAGGAATAGTGACAGTTCTTATTTCTCTTGAAGTTGTAAGAATCCCAAGTGACAAAAATTAAGACTGGAAGGAGAAATTACCTTTGCAAAGTGATCAAGTCAGTGATGAGGAGACTAAACTTTTTTCAGTAAACTTTTGAGGATTACATACAATAAAGAGCATGGATCTTAGGTGTACAACTCAACGAATTTTACAGGTAAACACTGCTGTGTAACCATCACCTTGTTCAAGATTCAGAATTTTTTTTTTTTTTTTTGAGTCAGTCTCACTGTCACCCAGGCTGAACTGCAGTGGCACACTCACACTCATGGCTACTGCAGCCTCGACCTGTTTGAGCTCAGGCTGTCCTCCCACCTTAGCCTCCCAAGTAGCTGGAACCACACGCTCCAGATAATTTTCTAATTTTTATAGACGAGGTCTCACCAGGTTTCCCAGGCTGGTCTCAAGCCCTTCAGGCAACCTTCTCACCTTAGCCTTCAAAGTATTAGGATTACAGAGGTGAGCCACCCGGCCTGGCTAGATACAGAATGTTTCGAGAACCCTTAAAGTCCCCCTCATGCCCTCTTTTTCCACTTGTAACTCATAACTCTCAAGATGATCTCTTTCATTATACAACTTTGCCCTGTTTTGAAGTTTATATAATGTATATTTTTTGTAACTGGCTTTTTTTCTTTAACATTAAGATACAAATAAGTTGTTACTTGTAACTTTTTTGAATACTGTATAGTATTTCCTTATATACATATAAAACTATGTATACAAGCTATGTGTCCATTTTACTACTAATGGGCATTTACATTATTTCCAGTTTTGGACTGGAACTCAGAGTATTCTTGTACACATCTTGATGCATATAATATTTGCATTTCTGTTGAATATGTCCCAGGAGTGGAATTACTGGCTGGAAAACTACCAACCAGTTTTCCACAGTGGTTGTATCAATTTGAATACCTACACTTTTATTTGCTAAATGTTTCTATAAACTTTAAGGCTTCAACTCTGAACATGTGGTTATGCTTAGATTGCTCTGCATTAAGAGTAAATATATCACTCTAATGCCTCACCATCTGTTTTTAGATATGGCTCGTGGACAGCAGAAGATTCAGTCTCAGCAGAAAAATGCCAAAAAACAAGCAGGACAGAAGAAGAAACAAGGACATGACCAAAAGGCTGCTGCCAAAGCTGCCTTAATATATACCTGCACTGTCTGTAGGGTAAGGAGAGTTTATAGATATCGCTTTCCCATGGTTGCTTCTTTTCATTATATACTGATTTGTACAGAGTAAAATTTTGTAACCATGACAAAATAGATATTTTATTTGAAATAGTAGATTTGAGAACTGGTTATTTTAGGAATCTGTCTTTATTCACCATAAATATATATATATATTTGAGTTTTTTGAGATGCAGTCTTACTCTGTCACCCAAGCTGGAATGTAGGGGCACCATCACAGCTCATTGCAGCTTTGACCTGCTGGTCTCAGGCGATCCTTCTGCTTTTGCCTTCCAATAGCTAGGACTACAGGTGTATGCCGCCTCACACATCTAATTTATTTTTATTTTTGTAGAGATGAGATCTCACTTTGAGATGAGATCTTGCCCACGATGATCTTGTACTCCTGGACTCAAGTGATCCTCCTGCTTCAGCCTCCCAAAGTGCTGGGGTTATAGACTTGAGCCGCTGCACCCAGCCATCAATAAATGTATTTTGAATGGCGTCTGTGTCCAGGCACAATTCTTTATGTGCTGGGAAAAGGAATGAACAAGACAAAGTCCTTTTCCTTATAGAGATTGCAGATGTCGGCTGGGCGTGGTAGCTCACACTTGTAATTCCAGCACTTTGGGAAGTCAAGGTGGGTAGATCTCTTGATCCAAAAGTTCAAGACCAGTTTGGGCAACATAGCGAGACCCCATCTCTTAAAAAAAAAAAAAAAAAGGCTGGGCTTGGTGTCTCAGTCTGTAATCTCAGCACTTTGGGAGACTAAGTCAAGTGGATTGCCTGAGCCCGCGGGTTCGAGACCAACCCGGGCAACTTGGTGAGACCTCATCTCTACAATAAATCAAAATTAGCCAGGCATGGTAGCACGTGCCTGTAGTTCCGGCTACTTGGAAGACTGAGGCAGAAGGATCACCTGAACCCTGCACATCAAGACTTTGGTGGCCGTAAGTATGCCACTGCACTCAAGCCTGAGCGACGGAGTGAGACTCCAACTAAAAAAAAAAAAAAAAAAGTAAGAGAATGTATATGTCTATATAAGGGCATACAATACATTTTGAACCCTGAAAGGAAGTCAGATCTGTATTCTTAGTTTAGAGCTATGTAAGATGCTAGTGAATATACCTGTGGTTAAATAATTGTTTTTTTTCCCTCGCTACATTCATAATTAGAATGTCTGTATATAGAATATATTCATGTTGAGGATTTTTACTAGAATTAATGTATTTTATTAGATTTGAGGAATAATCATAATAACAGCTTCTATTGAGTACTTACCATGTGCCAGGCACAGATCAGGTGGTTTACATGTATTCACCCATTTATTCCACACAACAACCTATGAGATAAAGTACTTTCATTATCCTCATTTTACAGAAGAATAGACTGAGTCAGAATTAATAACTTGTGCAGAGTCATCCAGCGGGTTACTGGAAGAGCTGGGATCTGAAACCAGACAGTTCAGCTCCAGGTTCCACCCCCTGGACCACTTCTGTACTGCAGAAAAAGAGCTGAAATTCCAAATCAGGGTCCCCTGCCTGTTTGTTTAAGCTCATTATCCTTGATGTTAGTGAATAACGATGTCAAAGGAAAAGAACCATAGTGGGGTTAGTCCAATACTTACATATACGTACAGTCTTCAAAGCTTTTTATGTGGGTAGGATTGATGGTATGAGTGGGAAGGGATACCATGTTATGTCAAGCTTTGGTACATTCAGAATAATGAAATTGAGTAACTACTGATTGTTTGGGAAGTGGCAGGGTGAAAAAAGTTCACTAGATTAGTGATGAAGAAATACCTTGACCTGAAGTATTATAGTAGTTCACATGTTTAAAAACTCAAAACCAAAAACTTTTATTTCCTATTTTGTGTAATTGAATGTGTTGAAGAATAAATAACTGAAGGACCTTGTCAAGAGAGGTCAGTACAGTATAGTGTTTGAGAGTTGAAACTAATTTAAAATATACCAAGGGAACCCAGAAAAAACTGGAATTATCTTTTGGAGGGTGAGCCCCTTGTAGTACGAACTTCCCCCGTAGGTAAGTGTTCTAGGAATCTGTCAGCATCAGTGTACCAGCTAGCATTGTTGTGAGAGACTACTGAATTTGACTTCAATTAAATTTTTTTTTGGATGAGTGTCAGCGCATTTTTGCATTTCATGGTGGGTGATTTGCAAGCACACCTGCCCACAGCATGCTGAGTGTTCAGCAGTTTTTGACCAGAAAGCGGCATGACCCCTATGCCCCATCCTCCCTTGAAACCTGATCTGGCCCCAAGCAATTTTTGTTTGTTTGCCTGGATGAAAAAAGTTCTCAAAGGGAAACGTTTTTGCTGATGTGGAAGTGGTGAAACAAAAAGCACTAAAAGACATCAAAACTGATGAATTCAAAAACTGTTTTGAGCAGTGGAAAAAACATCTGGATAGGTAGATTACATCAGATGAAGAGTACTTTGAAGGGGACTGAAGTTTAAACGTAAGAATAAATATGTAATTTTTTATAAATAAATTTCAGTGTTTTGGGTCTTGAGCAAATTAAACTCTGGGTTTTAGTCTCCTTATGTAAAAATGAGGGTGATAGTAGGAGCTAAAGATTACTGTGAAGGTTCTTTGAGAATTAAGGTAGCATGCTTAACATAGAGTTCAGTAAATGTTGCCTATTTTTAGCTGTTAATCAGATAAACAATACATTTGTTGTGGTCTGCATTTCTTCATATGCGAAATGTGGGAATGTTAGGAGTTTCTTTGTCACAGGGTCTCACTTCATGGACCAGCCACTGAGTTGTAGAAATTTAAAAGTGTTTTGTGATAGTTAACACATTTTTATTTATAACTACGATCTAGCTCTTCTTTTTGCACAATTTTTTTGTTAGACACAAATGCCAGACCCTAAGACCTTCAAGCAGCACTTTGAGAGCAAGCATCCTAAGACTCCACTTCCTCCAGAATTAGCTGATGTTCAGGCATAAAGTTGTTTACAGGTAATTGACCTCTTTTTCTTTTGGTTTCGGTTGTATACAAGACCAAAACTATCTTTTCTAATTGTGAGATTAATTTCTGCCTTCTGAGACTTTATCACTTCCCCTTTTTAAATTAAAATGTAACTTAATTTTATAATTAGAATGTTATAGTTGTTGCTTACAGTTTACTAAAACACTTTATAATTGTTAAAAGTTCCTTTTTTCCAACTGTTTCCCTTTAATGCCCTTGAAATACCCAGTTTTTACTGCCTTATCCAAAAGCTGAGAGATGAGTAGATGCTGGCCATCTCTGGTCCAAGAATGGAAGAAACTTTTCAGTTAAAAAAAAAAAAATAGTAAATACAAAGGAATTTGAGAGTCTCCCAGCAAGGATATAGACCAATGTTCCTGAGTAGCTTTTTACAGTTATTTTACTTAGAGTGCTTGGCAGAGCTTCTAAGTTTTTAAAATACAGGGCAAAATGTATGCAGGTGCTGTATAAATTAGATGGTTGCCTGAAAATCATCGCTTTATGTGCGATAGGGTTTGATAGGTTTTATAAAGTCCAGCTGACAAATCTATCAGACGCTATTTTGATAGTGCTTCTTTTTAGTCGTTTGAAATGCATGGAAGTTGCATTTGTGCAATGGTTACATTAACTGAAAATTTTGCTTATATTTTATAGGTGAATTCATGACACCTTTGACTCTTCTACTGTCTCAGACCTTAGGTAACAAACCTGCAGCTGCTTTTCTAACAAACTGTTGATCAGCAAAAAATAAAGGGGCTACAGAAACATTCATTTTTATGCTGTTCCCTTTTGGGCTTCACGCAAAGACAATTCTGTGTAAATGTACAGTTGACTCTGATTTGGAAATCTGAAAATCAGTCCATCCTTGTTATAAAAATTTTTTTACAATTGTAATTATATTGATGTTCATATTGTGTAAAATAACTCATTTAATAAAGTAGTACTTTGATTTACAACATCATAGGATAAATGGTTCTAGAAATTCTGTTCTAACTTTCCACATTATTTGCCTTATAAAAAATCTAATGAATTCATCAGCTAGAATTGCAAGTGCAATTCTTACCTCCCTTTCTCAGCTTAGTGGCAGGTTCATTAGTTAAACTAGAGCAAACTCATTCATTAAAACTGTGCTTACGCTTTTATTGGCAGCTGATGACCTAGGTGAAGAGTAACTTATCAGCTGCCTTCCTATATTGCAGTTACGTGTCATTGCCCCTTCTGATGTTTCCTGTATTTGAGGTTCAACTATTTAAATGTGCTATATGACCTGGCTCTAGTTGCCAGCCAGGCATACCCTATAGATAATTGATAAATTCCCCAAAGCAGTTAGATTGTCAGTGAGCCCTTCTGAAAAATTAGGTTCTGAAGTACATGCCATAATTGAACAGTCCTTAGGCCTACTTAATATAAAATGTAATGGGACAAATGTGAGCTGGTAAAGATCTGTCTTTTATAAGTGATACTGGATTCTTTGAAAATTCTTCAAGTTCTTTAATTTGAAATTGAAACAATTTTAGAGTTTTTGGAAGTTATTAAGTATTTGACCGGTTTTACAAATGGATTTTGTATTACCAGGAAGATTGGAATGCCTTGTGGCTGGGTTAATTCCCAGAACTCTCTCCTTCCCTCCTTTTCTAAGTGAGTTGTTGATTTTAGGAGTTTGCTTTGTGCTGGTTCCTAAAATCAAAGACTATGTGTGCAGTATGACTTCCATCTGAACTAGAAAAGTATTAAAATAGGCCAATATTTACATTCTTTTAGATCTGAGGACGGGGAAATGGGCTTATTCAAATGATAAGGTAAATCCTACCCAATTAAGGAAAACTAATATTAGGGTTCTTCTAATTTGCTTTTGTCAACTCTTAACTTGTAAAACTGCTGTAACTTGGTTTAAATTTTAAAATTAGCATAATAAGAACACTACAGTATATACTGGTAACTGCTTAGAGCCACATTCTGATCCTGTGGATTACAAATTTCATTCCCACTTTCTGCTGTAACTCACCACTGCATTTGTTTTGTAGCTCTGCATATTCTGCCCACCTTGTTTGTCTTCACTATAAGTTTAAAATAAGATATTTCCAAGGAAAAGCTTCAGTGCCGATAGTTTCTTAGCAACTCCTATTCTTACACCCTTATTTTAAAATAGAGTCCTTTCATTTTGTCTATTTATATAATTTCCTAAGTTTCAGATTTAATATCTGTTGTTTCCTAACATGTTGTTTACCAGAACATCAGAATTTCGCCTAATTTCTTGTGGGTATTACAGAAGTTCTGGTTAAATTACAACTTAAAAGTTTTTAAAAGTTCTTTGAGCATATGTATGTTTATGTTTAGTAACAAGTCATTGAAAACCATTCACAAATTTTGGTTTAATTTTTTCCCTTTGTTTTACTGACTGTAATTCAGAATGAAAGTTTTTTTTCCTGTATTTAACCCTTTTTTATAAGCAGCTGAAGATACCATATTTAACTCTATATCTCAGTGGTAGGGAAATAGCTGCACTGATCTTACATGAGCATTAATATTTTATGTGGGATTACTAGTACAATCCCTCTTTATTGTGTTTAAGTTAAATCTGCTATAAGAAGAAAATTATGAGTCTTAAACATCCTTGTTATTTAATTTGAAGATTCTTTAACAGATCACAGCAAAAGTTCATTATAAACTGTTACAGTGTCTTCAAAGACTTGATCAAATACAGAGAGAGAATTGGTCTGTCTGTATAATGTATTTCCATTAGTTGCCAAAAGGAATGAGGTTAAGATTCAACTTGTTTCCATTCTTTTTATATGGATATACATCCCCATGATTAACTGACACACGGGGCTCAGTTGTGTGCTGTAATGTCTTATTAAAGGAGATATTAAAGAAAACTAAACTAGTGTAATTTCTTCTACATTCTGAGAGATTTTTATATTCCCTCTTTTTTTCTTTCTGAATTTAGGATTATTTCTTGAGTATAGTTCTATAGCTCTAAGGGTAGGAAGAAATTTATTTCACTTCTCAACGTTTTCCTTATCGTTTTTGTCTGTTTGGGGTCTGTAGAAGAGTACTTATTAAGAGTGAATGAAAAAAACTTGTCACTTTGGGACTTTATAGAGTGTGAGTTGTTAGTAAGCGTAGGTAATTGGCTATTAACATTTAAAATACTAATACAAAAAGTGCTTAGGCTAATTGATTGGATGGACAAGTTCTTAGTGACATCAACTAAGATGTGCAATAATACTTTAAGTTTTAGAATACTATGTAATTAATCACATCATAATTCAAACCTGAGGTGTAGCATGAATAAGATAGAAATTACCAACATTACTATTTTACCAAAAGAAGCCATGTTTTTTAATTTTTATTAATAGATGTGATATACTGTACCTATTTTACTTTATTTTTTATTTTTTTAGTTTTTGAGTTAGAGTCTCACTCTGTTGCCCAGACTGGAGTACAGTTGCATGCTCCCGGCCACCGCAGCCTTGACCTGCTGGGCTCCAGAGATCCTTCCACCTCAGCCTTCCAAGTAGCTGGAACTACAGGCGCGCGCTACCACGCCCGGCTAATTTTTGATTTATTGTAGAGATGAGGTCTTACCGAGTTGCCCAGGCAGGTCTCGAACCCTCCAGCTCAGGCAATCCACTCACCTCAGCCTCCCAAAGCGTGGGAATACAGGCTGAGCCACTGAGCCCGGCTTATTGTACCTATTTTAAAATGTGGTTAAGACCTTTTTTCTGAAACTGTGATCATAGTCCAAACTGCTCACTCTGAATTAAGTTATTAGCACTAGAGGTCTAGTTTTTTAGGATGTGTTTGGTTTGGTTTTGGTCAGAGATAATGTACTTGTTAGAGTATATGACAGTGAAGGCCTACACTAGGGAACTGTCTGTACTGTGACATTATGTTCTGAAATACTTCAGCTACCCTAATTTTATCCATTGTGAGATTCAGAAAAATCTTAAAAGCCTCCAATGTGTAGGTTTAATAAAGCATTTATCTACTTAACTGAGAAAATAAATGTTTTATTAAAGTTTGCCTGTCATTAATTGTGGATTATTATGTTAAATTGAAAATATCTTTTATTTTGAATGTTCTTTTGATAAATTATTTTACTGAGTTACCTTTTTAAATTTTTTTTGAGCAGTCATTCTTTATATATAGTGTGGCTCCAAATTTAAAATCTGCACATTCAGAGATAGATTTTAGTCATTTATTTCTATCACACAGGCCTATCTTTAATATGAAGTAATTGCTAATTCTACTATTAACTAATATTTGAGGGTTGTAGGGAGGTATCCTTATCCAGATCTTTAGGGGATGAACTATTTGAATGAGAAGTTTTCTGCTCACCATTACTGGGGTCTTCTCTTTTAAGGCACCAACATATTTATTGAGAATAATCTATGTGAAGTTGTGTTATAAGCAATAAGACATTATGTAAAAGCAAGGTATTATACAAAGAAACATAGTAAAGGTCCCAAATCTTTGGAACCAAAAATATATTCTGGGGATAATTTATATATTTATTTACATAATTTTAGGCTAGATGGTTAGGTGCTTGATGTGTTTGCTAGACAGTAACTTTAGGAGCGTTTGTGTGTGTGTGTATAAATATATGTATATTTATGAGAATATGAGATGGCTTATGGATTGGAGAGCTTCCAGATTGTGCCTGGAAGGATGGGGAGTCTGCTTAGGGAGGAGTAGGGAATGAACAGGGAAATCAAAGAGGGGGTAGCTGAGTAAGCAAAAGCTTGGACAAGTACATACAGTTTCTTTGAGAGAAAGTGAGTAGGCCAGCCAGAGCATGAGGCTTGTGAATGAGAGCCTTTGAGCTGCAGATGAGAGTGGGGAGAAATCATTAGATGGAACCAGATTGTGTGATGCATGCATGCTACGGAAAGTCATTCAAATTGCTCCTTACACTGGGGATTCCCAGGACTTGGAGGCAGAGGAGTGACTTGATGCATGTATGTTAGGAAGAGTTACATTTATCAGTTAAGTATTGTGTTGGTACTGAGGTACTGGCTTTGATAGAGATCTTTTTTTATTTTCATTTTTTTTTAGTTGGAGTCTCACTCGGTCGCCCAGACTGGAGTGCAGTGGCAAGCTCCCGGCCACCACAGCCTCGACCTGCTGGGCTCTGGCGATCCTTCCACCTCAGCCTTTCAAGCAGCTGGAACTACAGGTGTGTGCTACCACGCCCGGCTAATTTTTTGATTTATTGTAGAGATGAGGTCTCGCCAAGTTGCCCAGGTGGGTCTTGAACCCACGAACTCAGGCAGTCCACTCACCTCAGCCTCCCAAAGTGCGGGATTACAGGCTGAGCCACCGAGCCCGGCTGGTAGAGATCTTTTTACAACATCTTGAACCTTTCCCTATTTGTAATCAGAGATTAATGTCCAAAATTTAGCTTTTGGTTATTCTAGGTAATTATGAATATGAATTAATGGGCAAGAATTGTGTTCTTCTCTAACGCAGTGATACTGCTAGGGCCCAGAGAGGTGTCTTAGGGATGTTTGCCCTTGCACTAAATGATCCCAAACTACAATGTATTCCTACATGCTATTTGTTGTCTTCTACTTTATTATAAAAGTAATGCATTTTAAAATATTTTTTATATAGAAATTTAGAGAATATAGTAAAGTAGAATTTTAAAAGTTTGCCAGTACAGACACATTTTGGTGACTACTCTCTCCCCCACACATACTTTTGCACACACATAGATTTTAAGTTAGTGCATACTTTTGAATTTTGTAGTCATTTTTGCATATTATGTCTTTGTACTTGGCCATTTCATTTAACATTACCACAGATGTGTTTTTAATGTTATAAACTTTGTGTAAGTGGAATTTTTGTGGCTGCATACTGATCTGTTGAGTAGATTTACAATAGCTTTTTGACCATTCCCCTGTTTTTGGATGTTGAGGTTTTCTCTAGTTTGTACTGAAGGCCTTATTTACACATTTAGAATTACATATCATAAACTTTAAAGCTCTTGCTGTGAAGCAGGCAATGAGATTCTGAGAAGTGTATAATACTTTATTAAAATAGAGAGGCTGGGCTCGGTGGCTCAGCCTGTTATCCCAGCACTTTGGGAGGCTGAGGCCAGTGGATTGCCTGAGCCCGCAGGTTCGAGACCAGCCTGGGCAACTTGGTGAGACCTCATCTCTACAATAAATAAAAAATTAGCTGGGCGTGGTAGCGCATGCCTGTAATCCCAGCTACTTGGAAGGCTGAGGCGGAAGGATCGCCAAAGCCCAGCAGGTCGACACTAGAGTGGCTATGAGTATGCTACTGCACTCCAGCCTGGGCAACAGAGTGAGACTCCAACTCAAAAATAAAATAAAGAGAGAACCAGGTTTGCAGACTAGATAGCATATAAGAGCAGGCTGAACGTGACCAATGGTGTTTGAGTGTTAATATGCTAGCTTTGAGTACTAGCACTTCTTCATAAATTTGGTAAGTTAGTCATGGTATATTTTGTTGATTTCTAGTAGAAGAGTAACATTTAAATTATATTTGTTAGCTAGATACAGTTTCTGTTTTGTGAATTGTCCATTGCCCTTTTGTTTGTCAGGGTTTTCTAACTATTCAGTCTGCTATCCAACAGTAAACTAGGAACATAGGGTTCCTAGTTATAGCGTTTTGAAACCTATAACTTATTTTACCCAGAGTACAAAATTAGGACTTACTGGAAATCTTAACTGTCAGGTAAATAAAAGACTATAGTTTGCATTTTCAAGACTAATGAGATTTGATTTTGATTCATTAATACCTTCCTGCTATGCAGAAATAGTAAAAGTATTTTTATTAGGTTAAGTCAGTCCAGCAAATTACAGTAACAAAATAAACTTTCATGTTTCTAGATCTTATTTCTAATCTACATTAGGTTCTGTTATTATTTCATATTTATGTGTATGAATTCTCATGGTAGTGAAATAGAATGTATTTAACCCTTGCTTTGGGTAGTCAGGAATATTTTTAATAGGAAAGTTTCTTACTGAAGTAGGATAAAAGATGGCAAAACATGAGAATTAAAACCTGTAATCAAATGTGCCCCAGTGGGAAATACAGAAAACACATCTGGCTCTGCTTTTTCCTGGCTGACCTTGGACAAGTACCTCACCTTTCTGAGCTACAGTATCTTCAGTCACTTATAATAGTCACCTCCAAGAATCACTGTAGCTGAGTGAGTAAAGGAAATGAGTCTGAATGCCTGTGCAACCACTGGTGCTCAGTGACGTCAGCTTTCTTTTGTCTGTCTTCCTTTCTCCTGTCCCTCTGCTGAAGTTAACAAGTGTCTCTCCACACATACTCTTCTCACTTGTGCCCATCTCTGTACTTTTTCTGAGGACTCAAATGCTTTCTCTTTTCCCCATCCAACCCCAGCCTCTTCCTGTGGAAATGCTACCCATTCTTCATGGTTTAACTCAAATGCTGATTTTTTTCATGAAGCCCAGCACTTTTAAAAATGTACTAAATGTGGAGGAAAGGAGTACTCGGTAGTAAATATGAATCCAGACTGCAAACTATAAAAAACAGTGTCAGCAGATTAAATTTTAGAAGGGCAAAAAGTTCCTGGAAAATAGTAAAGAAAAATGATTTGTTTTCAGTTGCATAGTAATGACAAGGGATGACTGTTGGGAAGCACGACCTTAGCAACTCCTCTTTTTTTTGCCTTGTACTTTGTAAAACTCATTGTAAAAATAAACCCAATGTAATGAAATACTAAGGACATATGATTGGGTTTTTACTAAGCTTTGGTGAATTATAATTCAGGGCTATAGAGATTTGAAGAATTTGACATTAAATCAGAACTATGTTCATCTAGAAAAGTGATAAAGACAAGAAGCTATCTAGAAGACTGGTAAGTGTGT